GAATCGTTGGAAGATACAGTCTTACCCGGGTCCTTTGGCCACCATGGGTCCTTTGGCCACTGAAGGATTTTCCGTCCCCGCAGTAGAATCTCAACCTACGTGTTAACCCAGTCAAGTAGATAATGGTTTCATATATGTTATCCCAAAGTTCCGTAGCCTTTGCTGTTCAAACACATTACAAGACTATGTTTTAGTCCAAAAAACTACTGTTTTGAATTATATTCCAGTGATCGCGGCTGATGTATTGCTCCGATAACTTCCATAGTTTCAGGAAATGTGAATAGGCTATATCTAGCTTGTTTGAGACAAAGAACACTCTTATCGACATGCACTTCCCAGAGATATCAAATAAGTTCTCATCGTTCCTGTCAATGTCTTCATTCTGGGGTTGACTTCTATCTCATGGCTGTCTGACCCGTGAGAACGCAGAACGCGAACAACTTTTGAAGGACACCGAGGAAGGCATGTATCCCCATCTCCGGTCCGTTTTCCCAGCTGAACCATGGGATGACAACGAAGTCCAAGCTCGATCTCTGAGGCCTTGCAAAGAAGAAGACCCCCGACGTGAATGGGGTCGTCCAGCGCCTATGCCCGTGCTTGTTGTCGGAGGGCCATGTTGAACACGCAAACTGTTGCACAGGTGTGCCCCCTTATATTTCTTCGTGATTCCACATCACATGAGCACTGAGGAGGTTGTATTGCTTGATTCCTCAATTATCGGCAGAAGATATTGATAGTTTATTCTCTGTACGGACGGAGTCGTATAGTCTCACTTCCACCAATCAAAGATGAGGATATCGATACTTCGATGCACGACATTGAGTATGCCTGACGTAGCTCTCCCAATCGAAAACGCCTCTACATTAATCTCTCAGTGATCGCTGTCATCTCGACCCGGGTTTCGCTTGACTTATTGTTTCTCCGACAGCGTGTCGAACCCAAATTCCGAACAGGTCAGAGAAATCAATAGCTGTCCTTTCCTGAGCCACAGATCAAGACCCACGCTTTCCTCACGTGAAAGAAGCGGGTGGTGAAGGCCAGCCTCATGAACAGTGCGTGTACCGTGTCCCCCGCTTTATGTTTGGGCCTCAAGTTAACCTAGATAGCAGATTCCCTGCGCGATCATAGAACATGTGCTAAGCACAGCACAGGTTGGCCAACGGACGTGCCCGTCGCCCGCGAAGGGATGCATTGCTTGTGAATCAAGGGAAACGATGCACTTGTCATCCATACGAGGGGGTTACGCGGAGCGTTGACTGACTATGTCTACAGATACCAGATGACAACATGCATGCAGGTGGTTGCGAAGTCGTGAATGTCTGGGTACTAGCGGTTCGAAACCGCCATGCTGCTTCTCTTCTGGAAGATTACCCACGTTCTTATAGATAGCGCGGCGATCACTGGGCACTCTGTACTTCATTATGAAGAGCTTGGAAATAGCGCTTTGCAGGTCTTCGGGCTTGCAGTCGCATCTACAACTCGACCTTCAGTCATGGCGTATGCTGCCCACGGATCGTGGATCTCGCACATCGCCGTGAGTCACAATGCCTGCCGCTCTACCTGTCAGAGTAGCTCTGTTCACACGAATGATTGTCGCCACAGGTGAGATACGGCGACCAGCCATCTCAGCAGCCTCCTGAGCGTGTCCTCGCACAGCACGGCGAGAGCGACGACATCAACTACCAGTACGGTGGAAAGTGAGTTCCCCACCTTACTTCATCCCAGCTGTGGATCATCGTCAGACTCCTGTATGCGCATTTTTCAGATACGTCTGGCTTGTCCCTCAGTATACGACAAACCCTCACCAGGCTGCCACCGGATTCGACATTGTGATCCAAGAGCATGGCGATCCTGCCCCCAATGACCTCGCTAAAGGTGCAGGGGGCGACTTCCGGTACCTCATTCCTAGGAAAGACATCACGGCGCAGCGTAAAGTAGTGCAAGTAGTGCTGTGCCATCAGGACCATGAGCTCTTCGGCACGCCTGAAGGCTGGGATAGATGCACTATAGACATCAATAAGATTCGAGGCAAGACGTACTTGTACCTTCTGTGGAAGACGGCGATCGTCGGGTGAAGCTCGGCTCCAGGTGAGCTGCCGAGGGAATCTCACGTGAGTTGCCGTCAGGGCTGAAGCTGGAGGTTGAACGTTGAACCACTGTCGTTGACCATCTCAGGCACGTCAGTGTACATCGACATGCCCAAGAAGTGTGATTTTTGGCCGTGCGACATGCATGCTCTCGGTTCGAGTCATATGTCATGTAGTATTGAAGAGATTAGAATCATCAGATACATGCCTGCATGAGTCGCGACCTTCGTGCATATAGCGACTTTGCCTGCAGCTGATGCTTCGTCATCATCAGATGCAGAAGATCTCCGCACAAAGCCCACAGTGGGCCAGCAAAAACCCCGCCCTGTGCTCCTTGTACGCAGGCGGCGGGTGGCTCTGATGCCCTCATAGGTATCTCAAATGGAGGGTGCATCTTATGATGACACCTCAGAGTCGGAGAATGTGCTGGCCGGCACAGGATACAAGTGAAGCGGTAAGGAACGTCACCAAGGTTCATCTGTAGACTGAAGCGCTGATACGCGTATGTAGAACTTCTTCACTCCGGGTCTCCCACGTATCTCGCGGAGACTACGCCATTCTTCCGCGTATATCCTCCAGTTTTGTCTGCCGGTGTCTTCAAATGGTCGACATGATTCGCTTCGACAGATGATCACTGCATACGTGCAAGTGTGTTAACTTAGATAGATTAAACCAACTGAATCAGCTCATCTTCGCCGCAGACGAAGACGTTGGGCAAGGGCTACGGTGAGGACCATTCCCCTGCGCAAGAAGCGACTGTCGAACCACAGCCTCATGCATTGTACGTGCCTCTCGCCTTCCCCTCGATGGGTCCCAGTGCCCCAAAACTGTAAATTCATCCATAATAGAAAACTGCTGACACACTGCCTGTGACATGATGTGCATTGATCGGCGGAGCTCTTACTGAGTCAAGTAAGGAGCACGACGGTATCCTTCGTTTGCGAGTGGATTAGCGGAGTAGACACTATCATCGTCCACCAATTTCGACTGACAATTTGAATCTGCATGCAGGGTCCGACCATATTGGCCCTTTACAATATCCGAGTCCCTGTCGCCCATGAGGTTCAGAACCACCACGCTGCTCCCCTCCCGCAAGACTGCGTGTTTGCATGCCGACCCTCTGCATACAGGTATAAAGGATTACGGAAGAGGGTCTTACGGTCTCTCAGGCCTCAGGGTCAAGAGCACAAGCACCTCGAATCATGACTGACAATATTGATACTTCTCAGCTCTGGATCTCTGGCATCGAGGTGAGTTGTCGTGTCATACCTTTCTGCCCATATGTACGAATTGACTTGCACTCGTAGGTCAGGTACGGATGCCAGCCCTCTCAACGGCCCCCGGAACGTGTGCTCGAGGAGGGCGGCAAAAGCGAGAACATCAACGAGGGATTATGCGGAAAGTGAGGCCCCCGCCATTCTCGCTTTGTCTGAGCTCTCAAACCCCCATGCTGATTTGATTGTGTGCGCACTCGTCAGATACGTCTGGCTCGTCCCTCAGTATACGAGACGCGAGTACCAGGCCGCCACCGGGTTCGAGGTCGTCATCCAGTGCCTCCCGGACATGTCCAAAAAGAACCTGTCCAAGCGTGGAGGGGGCAAGTACCGCTATCTTCTCCCCATCATGGACACCAGGCAAAGGCGCAAAATCGTCCATGTGGTGCTGCTCCGCCAATCGCAAGATCTTCCTTGTGTGCCTCCCGGCTGGGACGGAGCCACTGGCAATATCAATGAGGGCCGGGGCAACTCATTCCTGTACCTGCTTTGGAAGACAGAGAGCGTCCAGTGAAGCTGCTGCTCGGACTCGGATAGGCTCTCGACTGCGTCTTATGCGAATTCTTTTGGTCGTCGCTCAAGTTTGAGGGGTCGTTGGCAAAGCGCCCCCTTCATTAGCATAAGTCAGCGTGTATGAGTTGGGCTGGATTTCCTGCACTCTGCAAATCTAATCATACCTCATGTAGGAAACGGACGAATAGCATGTCGAGGCTGGTCTCGACCTTGTCATGCGATGAGAACGTGTGATACCGACTCAGAACAAGAAGTATGACTCAAGATTTGGTGGCCGGCCAGGGAAAGCAGGTTCGATCCCATTAAACAGCGCCTTTTGGCTGAGGGGGCGCAGTACTTGTCATGGTCAACATCTGAGGTCATGGTGTCGGAGTGGCAATTAAAGAAGCCTGTAGCCTGCAGGTCGAAGTTCGGTATACCACGGTGACTGCCGCCATGCTCTGATCCGAACTCGAATCACGTGGTACAGACGCCCTCCCACGAAGGCGCTACAGGCGCCATGACATCTGCGACCATCTTTGGCGTTGTCTCCGGTTCATCGACATTGATGGAATGCTCAAGACACAGTACGACAAGCCGTCTGAGAAGCCAAGTCAACGAACCCAATGCCCGGCTCCTTGATGTCATTCACTATTCTCTTGGGCCTATCCTAGTGCCGCCATCACGTCATTTGTCTGGTGCACGACCCACAGGATGCCTGCAGATGACACAGGTATGGCATGGTCAGAGTATGAACAGGCTTCGATTTACTCCTATCTGATGAGCCCTTTGGCAGATGTAGCACGTACACTCGTGGCTTGGCTCCCTTGAAACTGTCAGAGCTCAGTCTACAATCAGAGCCTCAGGCCTGCCATGTCGGGCCTCAGCGTTCTCGTGCCACCCGTTGAGACCCAGAACGCTGTTGTATCTTCCAAAACGAGCCAAGGTTCTGCGGCTAGAGCGGCGCACGTGAAAGGTTTCTGGGGCGCCTCGTCTGCCGAGACTTTGGCAGTCTTCTCAAATGTTCTGACTCGCAATGAAACAGGACGACTGCCTATCTTGAATGGCAAGCTCTTGCAACTTCCCAGGACCCGGCGCGCCGTCCGTCATATCTGCGTAAAGGTATGGCGTTATAAAGTGCGTTTCAGTAGATCGTGCAGAGCTCGAGAGAGCTCCTGCAATCACCCGGTCACCTGTGTCCTATAGTGCCAACTGGTACGATCATGGGTTCCATCTCCCCCGCTCCTGAGTCCTCTGGCTACGAGTCCCCCTTGTCTGAGAAACAGGACAAGTCGGAAGTCTCAGTTCCCGAAGATTCAGACCAGGACGGAGTATCCGATATCCTTATCGTCAAATTCTCCGCCAACGATGCAGACGATCCTCGGGTACGCCAACTCCTAAGCCTTGTCGGTGTGTATGGTCACTGACCTTTGCATCATTACAGAACTGGTCGGGGGGTTACCGGTGGTATCTATCGATCTTTGACTGCTTCCTTGTCTTCACAACGTCAGCGCATCTCCGTGAGCGGTGTCTGTCTTGTACTAACTCACTGTCTTCGTCGGTAGGACGTTTGCTTCTTCCGTTCCGGCTGGTTTCGCATCCCAACTCCTATTTCACTTCCATCTCGATGCGGAGCTTGTTGCGCTCACAATCACCCTCTTCGTCATGGGATTTTGCGTTGGACCTATCCTCTGGGGGCCGCTCTCTGAACAGGTATGTCATCCCAACTCTTGATTGTTCTTCTCTAACGGATACACAGTATGGTCGGAGGGCTGTACTAATTCCGTGCTACACGTTGTTTACGGTCAGCATACCTCCTCTATCTACGAGCGTCTTTGTCGATGCGTACGACCACTAGGCATTCCAAGTTGGCGCGGCTCTGTCACCCAACACTGCTGCGATTATGACTTTCCGACTGCTTGGCGGTATCACCTCATCGGCCGCCCACCCGATTGCACCGTACGTACTATTCCTGATATGTACTGTCCCTGGATCTGACAGCTTCGGAAAAGGGCTCTTATCGCAGATGTGTTTGTATTCATCTTGCATGTATTTAAGGGTTCCGAACACCCAGACTGACTCACTTCCTTCATACAAGTTGGGAGCCCTCTACCCGGGAGAAGGCGCTTACATATCTGGGTTTCCTCTCGTTTATTGGTCCAACACTGTTCGTCCTGTCTTTGCCTCTGCACAATCATCTACGCTCATGCACGATCGTAGCGGGCCTCTGATCGGCGGCTACATGGCAGCTGGGAATCTTCGGTGGCAATGGGTATTCTGGATGCTCACTATCCTGGTACGTCTCCTTGGCCACTCGGTGGAGCCCGTCTCACGTCGACCCCTCTGTTCGCAGGCCGGGACCTGCACCCTATTGATCACTTGCACGCAGAAGGAGACATATAGGCGAGTCCAATCCTACGATCGGGAACGCTTCCGACGATAACACGGTAGCAGGCCGATTATTCTCGCCCGTAAAGCTCAACGACTTCGCAACGAGACCGGAGATCCACGCTATCGAGCTCCGTTCGAACTTGTGCAAAAATCGACCATTGCAGCGACGTTGTACAAGACGCTCGCTAAACCCTTCGTGATGTTTGTCCATGAACCGGCCTTGATCGCGACAACCGCGTACTTGTCGGTGAGCTCATTCGTGGGCTTTGTGTACGCTCTGTTGCTCAGTCGCGATGCATACAGTTCATCGGCGGATGCTTGTACATGATGTTTGAGGCGTTCCCTATCGTGTTCGAAGAAGGTCATCACTTCAAGTCTAGTGAGGATCGCTCCCGACCCAGACGCGATGTCATTGTGCTTACACTTAGTAGGCTCGCTCGGTTTGATGTATTTACCCTTAACTGTGGGTAATATCGTCGCTCTCATCTTCGTAAGTCGTTGGATGGATTAGTCCCTCGTTTCCCGCCGGCGTGACCTCACTTCCGATCCAGTACCTCTGTGTGACGCAGCCCGACTACGAGCGCAAAGCCAAACGATACGCGCCGAACCCGGTCCCGCCAGAGGAACGCCTGACAATGGCCATATGGGCTGCGCCCCTCTTCGCTATCGCCTTGTTCTGGTTCGGGTGAGCAATCATATTCATAGATTCGTAGCCTGCCGCTGAGGTTATTATAGGTGGACATCGTTCCCGTCTGTCAACTTCTGGGCGCCCATGATGTCCGGATTCTTGATGGGTGTAGCCATCCTCGCGCTCCTCGTACGTTTGTTCGGCTTGGGACTCCCTCTGCAGCGCCGGTTGACCAGCAGCTACCACTCCACAGGTCGCACTGCTGAACTACATCATCGGTCAGCGCTTTGACTGAGTATCGAAACTGTACACTGATCACCAAATGCAGACGTCTATTCATACGCAGCGGCCTCTGCGCTCGGGGCGTGTACGGTCATTCGCAGCATATTCGGCGCCATATTCCCGCTGTTCTCAACGGCGTTATTCCGAGCCCTGAACCCCCGTTGGGCATCGACACTTGTCGGTTGCGTCGCGATCCTGATGATTCCAGTCCCTATCCTGCTGAAGAGGTTCGTCCGCTGCGCATAGCTCGCTTCTGGGTAGGCTAACGGTTTATTATAGGTACGGCCCGGCGTTGCGCGCACGGTCGCGCTATACCGCGAGGGCATTGGAGGGCTGACTGGTGCAATGTAGTCGGGTTACGTTGATACGGACGCAGAGATGACAAGGCAGCAATATGAGTGCGACATGTCGTAATGGCGATACTTGGGCTTGTATAGTAGTCGCCAGCGGCAGGGTGCTAATGAGATGTACAGACGGACAGACTTCAGAGTATGAGGCTCGTCGGGTCGATGGCGTCGAGTAGTAGTTTGCTACGTCGGTGACGGTTCGCGAGCGTGACGATGACAGACGCGTTGGATCGTCTCACGCGCGCGCTCGGCGCTCCTCCGCTCAAGACGACCACGACGACCTTCACGGCTTCACGATCCCGCAACTTGACACGACCACCCCTGCTACCTTCTCATAAAATCGAGACTATGCCCGGACCACGCAATCAGAAAAACAAGAAGAACAAGAAGGGCTTGAAGAAGGCGCCGCCACACGCACCAACACCCGCAGACCCGGCCCACGACGCGAGCACTCATCATACCCCCACCCAACCGCACGAACAAATACGCGAAGCGGCTAGTTCGAAATCCTCACTTAAATATCCTTTAGCAAGTCTGCCCCATCCACCGCAGGACACTCCAGACGGCCCGCTCGTCTTGGGATATGAGCCTTTGCCCCAGCTGAGCAACTACGAATACCTGCACCAGCAGGAGTACGATG